TCAGGTTTATTCATTACTTTCACAATGGCTTCACTTTTTCAGAGCTAAGAGGGCTTCTTGTTTTTTTTTAACTACAGTGTATGCTGTGTGCTTCAGTGAATGCATTTTTAATATTACATGAAACTAAAACGATGATGTAAATTAACAGAACAGTTTTAATGCAACCGGTGCTGCTGTTCGCTTATTATACTGTCAGGAAAAATTGAGTCTGATGAGCATTAAGAATTCTGACAGATGGCAGAGATGTTTAACAGCACTGGAAACACATTTTAGTAGCAAAATGGCTATTCAAACCAGTATTTTCAGTGATGCTGCCCCAATTTAATCATTAATGTAACTCTCCACCATTGAAATATTTTTTCATAATAAATTATGGCTGTATTTTTGGAAGAATTGTCCAGAAAAAGTCAAATTACCTCTCAGCTTCTCAAAGTTAAGAACTACTTTTACTGCTAAAATGCAGTTTTTAATTACTCTGTCCAGAAATGTTTGGAGCTTCTCCTAACAATAGGCGATAGGAGCTACTGAGAGGTAAACACAGATACAGTTAAATATCAACATATGTGGCAATATTGACATTTAAAATAAGTGCCTACAAAGCAGTTTAGAGGTTGTAAATTGATTGACCTTTGCAAATCTTTACAGACCACTAAAGTATACCTAGAGGGGAAGTTCATTATTAGCCTGTCATCTGAACATGCCCCACCTTTGCTTCACTTACACTCGCTTACTCTTTGTCCATTGTATCTCCAATGCTTACATCAGGTGATTATTTGAAGACAAAAAAAAATACTGCATGGACACTGTTTAGTACCACCAAGCACAAACAAGTGTGAGGGAAACAATGCACAAGGAAGAATAGTGCATTTGTCATGTCACGCCTATGATACAAGTTAAAATGAATAATAGGGGCATTATGCGTTTCTCTGTATGTGCTGTGGTTGCTAGAAGGACATTTATTTCTTTCTCGTTGTGCTCACACCTTCCTCAAAATGTAAATGACCCAGATTCTGCCGGCAGTTTCTCCCCACAGTCCCCAAACTAGCAAGTCGGTAGAAAAAGAGAGAGATGTTGTACTTGTTTGTATGTATGCGTGTTATCAGAGCCCGTGGGTCTCTCTCTGTTCGCCTCCTCCAGAGCTGCAGTCTTTATCGCAGACAGCCTTGCCTCGACAGAGTCACCAGCTCTGACTCGCGTTCCCGCGGCTGTGGCCCCCGAGGCAAGCCGTGAAAAGCTGCAGGGGCCCTACCGAGGGCTCGATTGTTTCCAGCAGCATACTTTCATTCGAGAACCCAAGGCGCTCTCAAAGCTCATTGTGAGGGAGCTAACAGCCTCTCTTCAAAAGGGCCTAAACGCATGTTCATTAATTATCTGGATCCTTGTTAATTGGATTAATTGTTGAATAGAAACCGTGTTATTAAAAATGACGAAAACACAAGGGCAGGGGGAGCAAAAGGGGGGGGATTAATATCGTTTCTGTTTACTCTAGGGCTGTCAGAAGACACAAGCATGCATGGGCACACACACACACACACACTTACGTATGCTATTGCTGCGTCTCGCTCAGTTCTTCTAACTCTCTGTTGCTGTTTCACACACGTATATACTCACGCACACACACGTATGTGACCCATCTCAGAAGAATGAGCGCTAGGCAAGGTGCAAATTACCATGCACACCGTTGGTGATAAGAACTAAGCCCATTTTCAAAGCTCAGAATAAATGCCAGATTCTTTTTGATGCTAGAAGACTATGACTTTTTCCATCGCTTATATTCAAAGAATAAGGCAGGAGGGGGGAAAAAAGAGAAACATAAAGTCAACACCGTGAACAATTTAGCTATCTCCAAGTCACATGAAAATTGGGTTTCTCGTTCCTCTGCCTATCTGCTTAGTCTTATCCGCTGAAATCACTTATCAGCATTTGACTTCAAGGGATGTTTTATCATCTGGGGTTTAAGATAGCCCTGTGATAATGCAGACCATTTGGACGATGGGACTAATATTACATATCCTGTATAATTGGTGGCAGTGTAAGTGACGAGCCTTTATGCAAAAGCGTTACTATCTGAATTTCCCTGGTCACTGGTTGAAATTATGATCAAATAGTTAATTCCAGACACTTCAAGTATAGAGTTTTAGATCGTAAAGTCCTTTTGATGTATAATAGGTAGTTCAAAAACAATCTGAAGCAGGATTTTGTCTCTTCTGAGCTCAGTTTGTCTGACCGGAAGCTCAGTAATTATAGCAGTAATGTATGCAGCTATATCCAAGAATGTGTTGCACCGGTTGTTAAGGCAACCATACCTGTCCTCCTGCTTTGACAGGAAGCCTTCTGTGGCATGCTCTTCTCCTAACTGCCCTCATCTAGGGCTGAACGGCCGGTTGCACGCGTTTTTCTTTTGGTTTTGAGCAGGCATTTTGGATGTAGCCCTGATGTCATACTCAACGGCCTAATATTGTATAGGTTCCCTCTTTGTTACACCAGAACAGGCGAAGAAATTTAAAACGTTCCTTTTTGATGAAACGTATAGTTAGGCTGGATCAGGTGACGGTGAACCCTCCCTTAGTTACACTGCAATTGGCCTAGGCTGCTGGGAACTTCACATGAAGCACTGATTGATTCTTTTTCACTCTCTGTGTTTTATTTACCTCTCTGCATTTAATTATGAGGTATTATTAATCTCTGACTCTTGTCCACGGTGTGTCTTTTGTCTTGTGTCCTTCCCCACGCGCTCAACAGGTCGCAGTAGATGGCTGCCCCTCCCTGAGCCTGGTTCTACCAGAGGTGTCTTCCTGTTAAAAGGCAGTTTTTCCTTCCCACTGTCGCCAAGTGCTCGCTCATGGAGTGTTGTCTTATTGTTGGGGGTTTCTCTGTATTGTTGCTAGGTCTGTAACCTGAAACGTAAAGGGCCTTAAGGGAACTGTTGTTGTGATTTGGCGCTATTATAAATAAAATTGAAAAACACATCAGGGTATGGACACCAGTCCTTTGGGGTCCTGACACTGGCAGACAGGCAGATTCTGTGGAACCTATGAGTTTTACAGTTGAGCCTCTGTGGATCCTGAATTGGATTTGAATGTGTGTGCACACTATCCTGCTAAGGGAGCCCACCGTTAGCAGATGGAATTGCAGTGGGACCGGTGGGTGCGTTATGTATCAAAGAAAGATCCACGTGATTGCAACCAAGGTTTCCCAAGAGAACGTTGCACTACAGTGAGATGCTCAATGCTATCTGCTTCACATCTCAGTGGCTTTAACGATTTGGCTGATTGGTATGTTATGAGTGGCATATGTTTTTTGAGCTAATAATACTGCGGGACAACGTTAGTCCAAGCACATCACCACATATAGTTAGTGTTGTTTGATCAGTTTATTGGACATGCTGCACTGACTCTAATACCTTGGACCAGATTGTTTGTATTTCATTGCAACACAGTGGCGACAAAGTAAAGCCAGGAGGTTATGATGCAGCTGTTTAAGCACCCACTGTAGGGACTTTCTTCCTTTTTTTTTGTTATACAAAAACACAAGTGGGTGAGCAACAAGCGAACAAATCGAATGGCTGCCAAGGTCATGGCTCAGACATAGTTTGGTGCCTCTTAACCAACAGCTGTTAAAATTGCACCAGTTGTGGTTTATTTTCACACAAATCAGATCTAAGTTGAGGTAGCTGGTTGCATGCGTGCATTTCATCGATCAAGTATTTTAATCTTCAAAGGACATGTTGAAAGGTTCTCCCAAGGACAGGACAATGAAAAGGCTCTATTGATTACCAGAGAATTGATCAATCAGTCCCAGACGGATAACAAGATGTACAAGTCTTGAGTAACAATAGGCATGTTGTAGGATATGAACTGCAAGTTTGATCTTTATTTCATATTTTAGCATCCCAGAGTGGAGCCCACACATGAAATCCACAATCATCCTGATTCGTAGGTTGGTCTTGGCAAGTGTACTGCCTCTGCTGCACACAAACCCTGTGCATGAAGCACTCAACCCACGTATGACTTTTCAAATCAGCTGACTACTCCATAGATTAGGAGACCCATACACGTCATTACCGAGACCTGGAATCACACCAGGCCTCATACAGTCTGAATGACAAGCGGGGCTGAAGTTTTTGACACAACATGTATGTCCTTGTGCAATATAAAGGATTTCTTTGTTCTTTTGCCAATGAAAAAGTTAATGCAATCACAGCGATGAGAACAACTGAGCAACTTAATGGCTGAAAGTGCTCCACATCTAAAGACTCTGGAGACAGTCATTCTGTTGTTCTATGCTTACAACTTATGTTGCTAGGGGTACAAATGTAATTATGAAAGCATTTCTTTACTGGAGGTTGTATGGCTCTCCTAATAATGACATATCTTATTTGGAAGATGAAAAAATATGTTATTGATATCCCTTTGTAGGAATTATAATGGTATCCAGGCTTCTAATAGCTTCCCTCCAAGCCTCAGCCACTATAGGCTGTATAGACACCTGTATTCTTATTTCCATCAGGATACTACATATCCATGCATACACAAAAATCTGATTGTAAACAGTATCTTAGGTGAAATTATCGCTGTGTCTGATGTTTGTTCTTCTTTGGGCTTAAAATGAAGCCATTCCACTGCATGAACCTTTGACACGCATGAAATGTGTGGTATGACACTTATGAACTCACTTATGGCAGTGTCAGGCTATTAAGGAACAAAGAATGAGAGACTAAGATTAAATCTGGAAAATGTTGCTGTTAGTTTGGGGGAAGGAGGAGGTAAATGTGTTCTATTCTGTTGACAACATATTAGAAACATTATGTGCATTCCTGCGCACTGCGTCTCATTGGCTACAATACCCGTCCGTCATTCCGCTAACGACTCGACTCCGCCCCTGTAGCTCGGATCTGAGGAATGATTGGTTACTCTGTAAAGCAAGATGTCCAATGAGCGTTAAGGAGGGCGGACCCTTTCCGGTGGAACAGGCTCTCGCGCCTACAGTGGTGGAATCGAACGTCCCCGAGCGCACACGGCGTAGAGGAGAGTACAGCGCACGAGTCTGTGGAAGGGAGATAACGGTTTCTTTTTTTTGTCCCCCCTCTCCACTCAAACAACAAGAACAAACCAAACCTGATTTTAGGGGGGTCTCACAGAGTCTTCTGATTATCAGGAGGAGGGAAACGAGGAGCCGCAAGTTTTTTTTTCTTTTTCCGTTTTTTTTCTCTTTTCCTTAAAAGAGGATTCTGTGCTTCGCGGTGGTTTGTTCTCCGCTCTCGCCGCAAAGATGATGGTCGGAGAGGTCGAAGTGAAGGAGCGACCGAGGCCGAGTCCCGACTATTTAATGCAATTATTGAACGAGAAGAAGCTCATGACCAGTTTGCCAAATCTCTGCGGCATCTTCACACACCTAGAGAGGCTTCTGGATGAAGGTAAGTGGCCTTCTGGAGAGACACCCTCCTCGTTGGAGAGGTGGGGGAGTGGGTTAAAGCATGACCACGGTGCAGTCCGGTGTCGGCACGGCTTCGCTGGGCATCCCTGCCGCAAATCGTTAGCGAAACCCGGGGATACACTAGCAGAGGGCACCCCGATATTCCAGGCGGCGGCAGGCGTAGTAGTACCAACTTCCAGTGAGAATTGCCCCACAATACAACCCAAGAAACGCACTAGTATCCTACCGGAGCGAGTTTGTTTCTCCCTGAGCTCCGAGTCCACCGGAGTTTTCTGCTGCTCTCTTGACTTTGTGACGACGAGATGAAAACTTTCTCTTACTTGCCTAAGAAATAAAAATCGCATATCACTGTCATGTTGTCAGACGTGTTAACAGGCAAGTTTATAAAAATAAATAAAGATATAAAAATATCTTTATTTATTTCAGGTTATACAAATGTTGTTCTCAGTTAAAAAAAAAAAGAACAATCTCTGGGGCCCTGGTTCCACATGTTCCACACAGCAGTTTAGCCGCTCGGGTTAGCAACATTTTCAGCTAGCCTGTCTGGGTGTCTGCTGAACTCTTCAAGAACCAGGCAGTGGCGTTAACTTGGCCACGTATGTAATAAACAGACTGCAATTGCTGTGCTTAACACTGCTATAAACACACGTTGGGGGGTGTTTGGGTTTGCTCGTGTTCCTCTCTTTTTGCCTTACTCCGAGGGTCGTGTTAGTTGTTGCCCAGCGGCCGAGTCTAACAGCACGGCGGAATGTCTCTGCTTGTTGCCCAAACAATGGCCACTGAGTTGCTGCGAGGAGGGGGGGGCGGTACTCGGAAGATTATTTCAGCCGTCTAACTTTTTCATTAAACGCGGCACCGCTGTCTTTCTCCCTCTTCTTTTGGCTACTACAACATTTGCCTTAAAACCTAGAAGGGGGGCTTGTCTGTATTTCCTTCCCCTGCTGCAGCTGCCGTCGTGTTTTCTTTTTTCCCCTCTTTTTTTTTTTTTTTTTAACCAGTCAAGCTTGCCCTACCAAAACTGCGTCGCCCTTTTTTTGTCAGCGGCGCCGTCCAGGCTGGATTTGGCAGCCAGAATTTGTTTCCTGCGCCCTGTCACTGATTTTGGCACCCCCTGTGGCTTTGATAACCCAGGATTGTTTGCCGTTTATGTTGATAGTATCATTATCATAAGCTGGTCTAAGCGGAAGGTTGGACCTGTGGTTTATGTAACTGAGCTGGGGACACTAGAGAGCGCCACAGCCCCCTGGCAGACTGTCCCCATGCATTTTGTGTGTAGCTTTGGATCGGACATCACGATGAATTTAAAAATAAGACTACCCCGTAAGCTACAGCATGAACGGGCTATTTCTTAAGAGGAAAGAGGACCTGAAAGTAGCGCATGCCTATGAGTTTCGGTAACATGTCTGGATGAGTAGGCTCTGTAGTATGTAGTTGCTAAACCGGTCTGCAAAGATTTTCTGGCCGTCTTGATGGGCGATAAACAAGACAAATGCGGAGCTGTTTACTTATTGCCACTATGAAACTAAAGCTTGCATAACGCTAAACGGATGTACATTGACTTTAAGTTTAAGCCTGGGTGCTGCTTTGGTGCAGTAAATAGTGAAGTCTTCTCATTTGCCTATAGGACATTTTTATAGTGCTTTTTTATTAGTAGAAAATTGCACTTCTTCATCTTTTTTATTTAGTTTGAGGCTTTCTAAAGTCTCTTATGCATGATGTTTTCAGAAAATCTGCAGCTCTGCAATGCACACGTATTTTTTTGTTTTTAATGATTTCGGCCTCCAATTTGATCGTCTCCACACCCCATAAATACTTCACAAAACTGATGAAATATCTTGCACTTTTATTGTAGTCATGTGGGACTGCTGGGTGTGTTGGTGTTTTCATTTGAGGGAGAGTTAGGAAGCAGATGTATTCTCCTATTTTTTTTTCCTCTCATCCACACTGTTAACAGCTCAGCCCTGCTGCTTTTGGTAAACTTTTGAGTTAACCCCTCAAAAAGAAAGAACTCCATGCAAATAATGCATTTCTGTCTATTGACTTTTTATACATGGGGCCAACTAAAATGTATCTGTTTGCATCTCAGGAATACTAAAAAGGCTGAGCTGATAAAGGTTCCCAGTTGTGTTCATTAAACGGACTCTTAAGTTAAGGAGGAGTTGGATAAAAATTGCATTTGCTTTCTGCAAGCGACTCGGTGCTCTGGTCTGATGCTTCATTGCAGCGCCCGTTGTTAAAAAACTTGCAAAACCATCCAGTCCTCTGGTGTTTAAGAAATCACTTGTAACTTCCCAGTCTCGCTCCTCTAAAACGGCACATCTGATGTTTTTGAGGGTTTCCACGGCACCAGCCCAAACTTTACCCTGCTGCTAAAAGTTGCATGTGTGTATCAGATGATGGTAGTGAAGGCCTGTCTGACTGACTGTCTGGTTTCTTCTGTTGTTTGGTTTCATCTCCCTGTGGAGGGGGCCAAAACTCTGATGTGGTATTTGGAGCAGACCTCCTCTCGGTCCCCTCGTCCCCTTGTATATATTGTAAGCAGGCCCCACCACATCTAGTAGAATCAGGCTTGTTTATGGTGCGTTTCATGTGATGTTGGATGTCTGCTCCTCCCGAAGTTCAGAAAAGTAGTGTAGAGTTGTGATTTAAAAAAAAAAAGAAAAAAAGTTTTTAATGGCGGTTGGTAGTTGACATTTGAGTAGTAAAGATAGCATCTCTCTTTCCTTTCTAGTCAGACTGGATAGACTGAGGTCTGACTTGTATTTGACCTAACAAGTTACGCTGTTTTCCCCACGGAGTATGCTACGTGCCTTCGATATCTCAGCCATTTCTTGCACATTGAAGGTGTCCCATGAAGGCAAGTATACTGTGCCAAACAACAAAAAGTTAATGACTGTGCTAATTTGTTGATAAAGCTTTACATTAGTGTTGGACGTTTTTTGTGTATTGTTTAAAACTAATTCTCAGAGGATGGGCTTTGCTTTCTGAGTCTGTTTTGTGGGCTTAAATGTGACTGAACGGCTTAAACGCCTTCCTTTGTCAGATTTAATGAGAGCAAAAATATAACCAGTTGCAGTTGAATATTTTAAACTCTCCCAATTCCTCCCATCTCTCAGTGCACCCTTCCGACAGCTGCTCATCTCCCCCAACCCACCCCACCCTCCCGCCCAGCATTTTGTGCATGTCTACACAGCTGTTTCCATGTGCGCAAGAAAGCCGACACCACCCTCCTGTGCGACCACCACTCCCGCCCTGTTTTAGCAAGCCTGCGTGCACGGACGACCCCGTTACTTTCCCAGCGTGCATGTTGTCCCTCAAGGTCACTTTGGCCGATTGACGTGCCCCCCTTTTTGAAATCCCCTTCCGTTGCAGTTGTTCATCTCCCTGAGGTGACACCTGCTGTGGAGTTTTTTTATTTCTCTTTACGATCTGCCTGCCAACAAGCTGCTTCAAATTGCTATATTTTCTCTTGGTAGAAGGAGACAGACTGTATAACATCTAGAAATGCAGTCCTAGTAGTGAAGTACGGGAAATGTTGAAGGCAAGATTTTTATTAGTTGTTGCCATGAAGTTTTGATGAGTGTCTGTGGGTGGGCAAAATAGTCAGATTTCTCAGCAATATATTTATTCTGAGCTCCTGTTATGATGAAATGAAGATGAAGAAATGTAGTCGGATTACTCCACAGATATAAAAATTGGTCAGTTTTGCAAAGACATGTAAAGTTTTTGAAAACTAACAGCAGCTGCACAGCAGAGCTGCTCAGGACTTTAGACAAAAGCATGTTGTAAAATGGGAGCAATGCGATTCACATGTTAGCTTCTGTTTCAATTCCAAAACCACAGTTTAAAAATGGCTAACATTAGTGGTCTTACTTTCATTTTGTGTAACAAGACCGGGCACCAGCAAAGAGAAATTACACAAGCATTAGCTTGGTGGGAATAACATTGTACTCCCTCTTGCTATTTTGTTATTGTTGCCCAGCTGCTCTTAGTGTTTTTCTTTATAATTGCAATATGTAAACATTAGCAGTTGCTAGTGGTGCTGTTTTCTTTGTTTGTTTTGTGCAGGCCTTCAGTTTTATTTTAATAAGCTGTTTTTGAGTCACGATTTGTCTTGAGTGGCGAGTAAACTAATACATTGACGTAGTAAATCATCCATTAGCCTCCAAAATGGAAAATCAGCATTTTGGGCCACAATACCCAGCCTTAGCAATGTGCCTATTTTTGTGGATTGTTGCTATAATAGATTAAATGTGCAATTGTGCGGTGAAGCCACGTGGTGCAATGTGCCACTTGTTCCTAGCTACATCATTTCCCTTTGCATACAGTTTTAGTGTCTGCTTGTTTATTTCTGTGTGTCACGTTTTAACAGGACATTCCTGTGAGAGCTGTCAGCATTCTGGAGGACAAACAGTCTGCTGTCCACTGTGGTGCGTTTGTGGGGAATTGGTCTTCAGGGAACAGCTGTTTTAGTGAACAGATTGTGATAAATGGGTGACTGCTGGAAGTCTGAATTCTGTTCTCTACCTGACGTCCCACATTTCTGTCAGTCTTTCGTGTATAGCAGTCCCCCCTCTCCTCCCCCTGTATTC